GAAAGCACTTTGCTGTGATGTGCCCATCCCCCTATAGTAGTAGCAGAAGCCTGCAGAAAATGGCTAGCCACTGGGAGCCCATGACAAAGTCACTTACCACAGGTATTTGTTTGAATGACAGAAAGCTGACTTAACTGGGAAGAACCAAGTAGTCAGAAGCTTCCCAAGAGGTCACAATTGAGCTGAAAACATGGCTAGGAGGAAGCAGACAGCTACAACAATGTCTAGAACAGGAGTCTGAGAAAGAGAGAGCAACTAGTATAGAGTTCTATCATGGAGCTGAGAGTTACACACACACACGCACACACACACACACACACACACACACACACACACACACACGTTCACAAGGGAGCGTACTTCCATCCTGGATACTTTTCATACTAGAAACAGACACAAGACTCCTGGACCAGAGCAAAGATTTTATTTTTCACAGCAGCATGTGAGCGACATTGTTTCTTGACACTCCTTTGCCATGGACAGTATTTGGAGGTAGAAGCACTAAGGTTTGCAAATGGGTTTGGATGTTGGGGGTGAGAGAATGATTGGAATTCAAGATTCTAAACTTCAACCCAAGAAAAGGAGTGTGAGTTGATAGTGTAGGTAAGGGCGGATGGCTTAGAAGTACTGCTTTGAACAGGGAAAGTTGATGACTAAAAGATGCCTAGGGGAAGGGGTGTGGAAAGCGGTCTGGTATGAGAATCTGGGCCTTAGGAACAAGGGCACGGTTGGAGGTAAACACTGGCAGATGCAAGGTCTAGACCATCCAAAGACTGATGTGTCCACTAGAGATTGCTGTCCATGTCCCCTGGACAGCAGAATCCCTTGTAGCTACTATTAATTAGAGATCCCTGGTCCTAGATTGCTCTTATCTCTTTCATTTGAAATTTTGTGATCCAATAGGTAGGTAGATAGGTAAGAAGAGAGATGGATAATAGACCGATATTTCTGCATACATTCAATGTGCACACAGGATTTTTGAAACTTATCATGCTGCCATAATTGAGCTTGGTTGGGATGGTTGTGATGGTTGTGATGGTTGTGATGGTTGGGCCATGGCACCCTCTGTGGTTATGAGACAAGGACAAGAGAACCATGGAGGTTATTCCTGGTGGATTTGGTTCTGAATGTCTTCCTCCAAGCATGATGAGGGAGAAAGAATCCCGTTTGTGTAAGCCACCACAGTTGGATTGTTTGTTACTTTTTGGCCATGCCGTAGCTTCAAACAGCCCCCTAAAAGCATACTCAGTTGACAATTCAAACATGCAGGGAGGCAAGGCCTGATGGGAATTGTATAGAGGCAAGGCTGTACCCCTGTGAAGTGACTAATGCTAAGTATAAAAAGGTTTTGAGTCTCCAAGTTTGATCTCTCATCTGTGATGCCTTAGCCATGTAATTGCACACACGGAACATGACTTGGCCTACAGAACTTTGAGTCAAAGAAACTTTCCTTTTTTATAGATGGCCCCATCTTTGATATTTTGTTATCTAATTAATTAATTAAAAGTGACACACATATTATTAGTATATAAAATTTAAATAAAATAAAGTTAATCTTCTTGGGGAAGAGTAACTTAGGTAAACATTTCATTAACTCAAGCTGAACAAGAAAAATTTCGTTACGTCTCGGGTCTCTTAAAAGTGTCCAACTCCTGAGCGCTAGAGACATGGCTCAGCAGTTAAAAAATATTTGTGGTTTTCCCAGAGAACCCAAGGTCCCAGCACTCAAGTCAGGTGGCTCACAACTATCTGTAACTCCAGTTCCTGAAGCCAAATGCCCTCTACTGGACTTTGAAGCCACCTGTATTTACACACACACACACACACACACACACACACACACACACACACACACCACAAAACAAATTAGAATCATTTTTCAATTTTCCAACTCTGTGTAAATTTATTATATTTGAATTTTTAGCATTCCAAACAATTCACGTGATAGCTTACATCTAATTGTGCCATTCTCATGTGTTTATTAGTTTATTTTTGAGATGGTCTCGCTGTTGCCTAGATTGGCCTCAAACCAAAGGATTCTCCTGCATCGGGCTCTTGAGTAGCTGAGATTGCAGGTGTGTACCACCATGCCTTGGAATTCTCATCTACCTAAACATCTCTACTAATTCTGATAAAATTATAATGCATCTGTTCAAATAGTGTCAATGAGCTGTGTCCGGTTTTCTTATACCTCTCTGTCAAAACCACGACACAAACACCAATTTTACATCGTGGCTTCAAACTATAGGCTCTTTAAGCATTTAAGTCACGTAAACAAAGAAATATAATGAGATTCCTCTTAAAGTTAGCCTGAAAGAATCAACAATACGGATGTGATGCTTTTCATCTGTGTTTAGTTCTACATGTCCCAGGGCTTGGTAAGTCACTCACTCAACAAGGAGACAGACTTTGTTCCCCAGGGGACTCACAGATGATACATTGCACCATATGAGCATGGTAGCATGGCATGGCTGATGCTCAGGTCAACTGAGGAGGGTACGCAGGACTGAGGTCAGTACCCCAGATCTGGGGAGTGAGAATACTAAGCCTTGTTTGGGGTTATTATGACATGGACAAGGGGCTTCCATTCTGTACACTTTGGAAGGATGCCATTTTAGAGTCCATGTTCCAAACTGGAAGTTCTACCTGACTTATGCCACTTCCTGTATGAGCTCATAGGCTCCAGTTCTCTGCAGACACTGCCCAAATGTTTCCATGTTGCTTAAAGACACTCCAATGCGGTTGCATTTGATGCTGAACCTCAGTTCTCAGTTCATAACACATGCCACTCCTCTTCATGTGGCTTTTTAGAAACTCCTCAGAGTGGGATTATAGCATTTCACATTCCACCAGCACCACTCTGTTTAACTTGGCCACACTGCTGCTTGGACACTGTCCCCTCCCGAGTCTCCCCAGCATGTTCTCCACATTGGCTGAGACCACCCAGAAGATGTTGGCTGCTCTCCCCACCCTGCTTTGCTTTAGTGGGGGAGGTCAGGGCACTGTGGAGGCAGAGCTAATCTCTCACCTTTTGTACTTCTGTGTAAACCGGCAATATTATATTTCATAATTGTATTTTACTCCAAATAATAAGGAGATGCTCTGGAGGTAGCTGGAAAATTGCCATTTTGTTTCTTGTCCCTCTCAGGCAAAAACATCCACTGATAAACATATTTCTTCCAGTTAGAAATATTCCTTAAAAAAAATTTAAAATGCTTTCAAAATAGCTTATCTATTTGAATGCTCTTCAAAAACTCCAATCTTCAGAGACATCAGTTGGTAAACCATCTTTCCGGTGAATAACTGCCCCTATTTGTCATGTGGCTTAAGATAAAGTACACATTGGTATTTGAGAATGTGCACTATCCATCTCCCCCAACTTCACTAATCAGAGAAAACACTTGCCCTTCCAAAAGGAGCAACAAAGAGACAGAAAAGGGACTGTCCTCAGTGCTCCTGAGATGGAAATGTAACCAAAACAATGTGAATGGTCTACCTACCTTTGGGAGACAGTAACAAGCTTTGCTCTATCCCACTCCTCTGATCGCTCCTGCTTTGTCTTCACAGTAAGTTGTATGTGTGGTGCTTTGTCCCTGTGTACTTTGTCATATGTCATACATGCACTATCTATCAATATCAAAACCACAAGAGCTCTCTAGATAGTAACCACCACCATCACCATCATCATCACTGCCATCACTACCACCACCATCACCATCATCACCATCACCACCACTGCCACTATCCACCATCATCATAATCACCATCATCATCACCACCACTATTCTCCACCACCACCACCACCATCACCATAATCACCATCACCACCACCATCATCACCATCACCACAATCACCATCATCCTCACCACTGTACACCACTATCATCACAATCAACATCACCATCACCGCTATCCACTATCCACTACTACCACCATGACTATCATTACCACTATTACAATGTTCCAAATTCCCCAAAAGGCATCTGCCAAAGCCCTTCCCAAACCTCTATCTTTGTGCTTTTGTTGAACATGAGAAACCATGATCATGTATCTTTAGGGACAATAATAGGAAATGGATTGGCTAGCTCCCTATGATACTGCTTGCTTCCTGTGGAGTCTTGGCTTTCTCCATCCTCTCTAGTGTCTGTATGCTTGATCTGTCACGCCAAGGACCCTCTTCCCTCCCCATCTCATGCCCAGCTCCCCTGTGTGGGGGCTAGGAGGGATCCCACAAGGGGGACAAGGTCCTTTTTGCACCTCAGTTCTACTCAGTAGAACAGATGGAAATAGCACCAACGAAAACTTTAAGCTCCATTTCCAGACCTTAGAAAAAGGTGGTGTGTGTGTGCTTATTTATACCGTGACCACAAAGTATGTTTATTATTCTGATATTTGAAACTCAGAGAAACTTTGTCCAATACAACAATAAGATGTACAGCAATTGGTTCCCATTCCCACCCAAGAGAGTCTACTAAAGCAACAATAGCATTAAAAGAAACCTCATTTTAATAAAGCCCCAGGGACATTTATAAGTGAGGAGAGAGAAAACTGAAGGTATGTGTAGATGTTGGAACCTTGTAGCTATATCAAAGGACCTCAAGGCTGAAGGTGTTGGTTCCTGTAAACCTAATTCTATTTCAGAGCACAGAAAGGCTATCCTTCTCTCCGGCATGGTGGCACCAGCTTTCTCTTATTAATGGTCCAGCTGAAGTTAGAAGCAGAAAAGTAGAAACGGCAGGAAGAAGAGGACAGTGGGAAGGAAGAAGAAGATGCCATGGTAGCGACACGGTGGTAAGTAGACTAGCTGGATGGAGAACTGCCCAAACAACAAAAATAAAGGCATGTACACCAGGTCCCTGGGAGGGCCAAGGGGTGGGGATGGGTGACTGACTAGCTCTGGTAGGTCCAGCTGGACACCGGTGGCCAGGGAAGTCACCAAGAGTATCGCTGTTACCTGAAGAGCATGCTTCAAGAGAACATGTAGGAAGGAGATGCTGTGTGTGGTAAACAGCATCTCTGGAAAGCTGAAACTGCCTTATGGTGGCTGCCAACTCCTTTTGTGTAAATGCCTTCACCATGGACAATTCCAAGCCACAACTGGTTAAATAATTAGGTTCATAATTTAAGAATAGTTTACTACCAGGTTCCATGTGTTCATATAAGCCAGTTCTGACACATCCCACACAGTTCATGTTCAGCTACATGCCAGCTAGATCATGGCATGTAGACATGCCTCTCTGGTTCCATGAGTACCATAATTTAGTGGCTTTAACAGTTATTCATTCAAGATTGAATTTCCACGAAATTCAATGGTAGGATAGGTCTCAATAGCACATTCGTAGTCTTGAAGCCACCGGGAAGCAGAGGGTCAGAAGACCACTCGATTGGTCAACATTTAAATTAAGAATCATTGTGGAGGTAACTCTTTGAACTATAGTAAATTGTCAAATGTGACTCTTTATATTAATTTTTTTAACAAATGAAAAAAATCATAAAAAAAGAAAAAACCACCTACGATTTTGTGGAGGAGTTAAGGTGTACATAGATGCTTTGTGACCCTCTTGCCCCAATGTTCACTAAAACACTTCACCAAACACAGTACTTACTGGACAGAAAGTTCTAGAATGTGGAAAGATGTCATGGCATAAGAAGTGCGTTCCCTGTGCACCTATTTGCAGAGAGCAAGAGAAGGCAGCAGACTCAGTGGGGAGAAGCAAGTGACATCCCATCACAGATTGCCTCACTATATTGTCACCATGATCTGGTCCAGAGCTTTCCGCTTGAGGTCAGGCACTGTGGCCTCTTTGCTAGGGTACCCTACAGGGAGCAACATCAGCAGCTTCTCATGTGAGGGTCGGCCCAGGAGCAGCCTCAGACGAGAACCACAGTTGAGGGGAGTGGTGGTGACAGTCACTAGCCCTGCATTCTGAAACAGGAAAGAACAAACAGGCATCTTACTGTCAGGCAAAAACCACCGCTCTTTCTCCAGCCCGGGGCCACTCTTATCTTCTCTACTCCTGGTAATTTGATTTCCCCCTGAAGGTGGGTGGCAAGGAGGCTCCCAGCTCAGGTAATGCATTGTGAACCTTGCCTGTGCAGCCTCCTTCCACCTGCCGCCTCTTTAGACAAGCATCAGGAAACATCTGGAAGAAAAAACATCTTATTTTCCAATGATGCTTGAGCAATAGGAAGGGCTGTCTTATGGGAAGAACTCTGGAGACGTTAACTCTCCTTAAAGAATGACAAGGATAAGCATAGGATCTAGTCTGTATCTTGTATCTGACCATAACAGCAACGGCAGCCTGACAGCACTGTCCACAGCCTACAATTTTCCTGACAGATGTTCTTTCCAGAATTCCAGTTACCCATCTGACTATAATTTGTTATTAATAGTCATAAGAGTAACATCTGAACCCATATATTTACAAGGGTCTGGAGTGAATTGCTATGGGCTCTCCTGAGATCTAACACACACATCGTCCCATAAAAAGCATATAATGCCTCGGGAGATCATACCATGCAAGCCCGAGGGCCTGGGTTCAATCTCACAGAGCTCATAAAACAATAAAAACCATGCCATGGAGACACATGCTGGGGGAGTAGAGACAGACATACCTGTACAAACATACACCGCCCTCTAGGTCCCTCCCCACCAGTTCCCCCTCCTACCCGCGATGCCCCAGTCACCTGGCCACCTGGAAGCCAGAGCTGCCTCTGGCTTCATGCGAATTCATCCCACCCCACTGAGTCGCTGTGCTGGGGACCAGGTTCTAGAAACAGTTTTTTTCCTCTTCCCTCAATCATAAACCACCTTGGAATTCTAGGAAACTAGAAAGAAACCAGCTCAACAGGAAAGCCAATCTGGCCGGCCTCTGAGAAGCCAAGGGCACTGTGGGAAGGGGCTGGCACCAGGCACGCTCTGCTTCTCCCGGAACCTAAATCAACTGCAGGGCCCTATGGCCGGACACGGTCCCAGTACACCTTCATTTATCTGCCTTCACCGTAGGGAGGGAAAGCAAAAGCCAGGTTCTTCCGGGTGGTTTGAGAAATAGCAAAAGCCCAATGTTGTAAGGCGTTAGACACAAGCCTCATCTTTCTCGGAGATGATGAGGAATCTTGCCTGTATGAAATTGACCCTTCCTTCAAAGCGGGACCACTCTGCCTTAAGATACTGTTTGTTGCACTCATTTGTAAGTTTAGCGTCTCTCCCTCATCCTGGAGATGACCTATCTAATCCCCGGGGTCTCCCACCGATGGCACAGGGTTTGAGAGGCAGAACTCAGCCCCGATCCATTTCCCATTTGCATTGCTCTGGTGCCCCTGTGAAAAAGAAGTTTTTAAGCATGTGGCCATTTTTCCGAGGCAACACAGCATAGGGAACCTCTCAAGGAAGGAGCAAAGAGCCTGGTGGCTGCTTAGACATCCCACCAGCCTGGAAAGGGCCAGTATGCCTACGAGGGATGGGTATCTCTGAAACTTTCCGTCTCTGGCTTTTCTCCGAGATGGCTTCTCCAACCCCCAAGCTACATGCTATTTATGGAAGAAAACAGCGTTTCCAACCCTGAGCTATTACAGTGGGTTTCCAGGGAGAGTTTAAGCTTGCAGATACCCACCAACCCAGGGTTCCAGGGTTTGTTGTCAATCAGTTACTTTTCCTAGGAACTCAACTTGAGGTAAACAGTTCCCAAATGACCTCTAATTGGAAACTGGACTGAAGCAATGGTTCTCAACCTGTGGGTCGCGACCCCCCACACACAAAGACCACTGGGAAACACAGACATGTATGTTCTGATTCATAACACTAGCAAATTCCAGTTATGAAGTGGCAACGGAAATAATTTTGCAGTTGGGGTCACCACAGCATGAGGAATCGTGTTGAAAGTTTTTCGGCATTAGGAACATTGAGACCCCGCAACTTGTCTCCCTTGGACCTGTGGGCGAGCAACACACACACCTGCAGCGCAGCCAGCAGGATGCCACAGGAGATCGACACACTGATCTCGTTGTAGTAGTGGACCTTTTTCTTTCCGTTCGCAGCAAAACCATGGACTTGCTTGAAAATGAGAATCAGAACTGGGGCTGTGTCCAGGTACTCCTTGATCCAGTTGGTTCTGGAGGGGTGGACCGGGTAGAGAGAATATTCAGGAAAATGTTTACTCTGAAATTTTTTTCTCCTCTTTCTAAAAAGTAAAAACTACCTTAGCTTGCTTACCTACTTTTCCTTTTTTTTTTTTTCCCCTCTCCTCTGTGTAACAGTGCCATCTGTCTTAGAACTAGCTCTGTAGACCAGGCTGGCCTTGAACTCACAGAGATCTGACTGCCTCTGACTCCCTAGTTCTGGGATTAAAGGTGAGTGCCACCACGGCCTGGCCTGCAATTCTTAAATACACATTTATATGTCTTTTCTATTTAAATTGAAAAAGACTGGATTTTTATGACTTCTTTTTGCCACATGCATCTTTTTCTGCAAGGTTAATGACATTGATAAACATACATTAGTGTGTGGCCAGTATGGCAAAGCATGTAAAATGTTGAAAGAGACAAAGATTCCATAGCCTTCGATCGCCAAACTGCTACTCAGCCAAGCGAAGCCAGCTGGGCGTTCCTAAGGAATTAGATAATAAGTGTGTTGGAGCATTCCGAAAGCTAAGTGTTGACTTGGAAAAGAACACCGGAAGCCACAAAAACAGACTTCAGTTGGTCAATGACGATAAGGAAGGAGAGTTGGAGAGCGGAATGGATGGATGAGCATAGCCAGTACAGAAAGAGGATGCCTGGCGGCCCAGGAAACTACCCGAAGCCTGCAGTATGGAGGGCATACCAGCACATGGGTGGGAAGATTTTGCAGGGCCCTGGTCCTCGATTTGTAGGTGATGGAGGGTTTGCTCTGTGCTGCTGAGCAGAAATGTCATGTGATCGTGCCGTGTGACCGGATCCATTTGGGAAACGTGAGTTGTGAGCGTGATGGCATCAACAGTGGCATTGCAAGCGCCAGCTACAAAGTCAGCCTAGGGGGAGGAGAAGCACATGCTTGACCATGGCCCAGGCAGGATGGAGGCTGCAGGAGGGCCAAGCTGGGGAGAACTGAAGAGGAGGTGAGGGTTACAGAACAAGGAAAGGAGCCTGTGGAGGCATTGGTGACAATGGGAATTGACAGATGACAGGACAGGAAGGGACCCTAGCTGTGGGGAGAGGCAGTGGCCATTCATGTGGGTACCAATGATAACTTGAAAAGTTTGTTCTTCAGCTCCAAACATATCTCCCTTGATTCCATTACCCTGCCCCCACCTCTGTGCTGAGACGTCATTCTAGAACAGACAGATGCCAAAAAGAGAGCTATAGGCCCATAGAATAGTCTGTTCCTAACTGCTTCCTTTCCCCATGGGATATAACATGGACCTAATTATCAGGATGTGGTTACTCTTAGCATAGTTACGCTCAACCATTTATAAACGCCCTAGAAATGTACATTCCTCTGCTGATCGCTCTCAAGGATCTTCTCTCCCACTCGGCCAGCTTAGCCCCGATGATCAATGGTCAGCACTTTGCCCGCCTCACAGAGAGGGAGGACATTGATTACCTAGATCAACTCTGGCTGCATCCCCACTGCCTCTGGCTCATTTGCAAACCTATGCCCATCTCTCATGGTCATCGTGAGGCAAAGTAAGTTAATATGGAAATGGCTTTTACCAATCCAAGCATCACACTTTGAAATCACAGAAATGCTGGAAGGAGAGGATTCCCTTTGATCACTGTCTGCACTCACTGGATTTCTAGCGTTCAGCAGCCACCAGCGACACACACTGCCTTCAGGCCACCAGCAGGCCCAGCAATCGGTTCTCCGCTGTGCACAAGGGAGCTGAACGCTGCCAAGAGGCTGAGGCCGGGCCCCAGGCTGCACACTGCTAGGTAGATTGCGCTGTGATTTTGACATTTTCATGATTTAAGATTTTGATCCTATTCATAATGATCAAAATGAAGTTCAAAAATATTTATTTTTATTTTGTGGGTATGAGTGCTTTGAATATATATCATGTGCATACCTGGTACCCAGAGAAGCCAAAAGAGGACACTGGACCCCCTGGAACCAGAGTTACAGAACATTGTGAGCTGCCTTGTGCATCTTGGAAACCAAACTCGGGTCCTCTGTAAGAGGAGCAAGTGCTCTTAACTGCATAGTCCTTTCTCCAGACCTGACTAAATTGTAAATGTGTATAAAATATGTATAGAGGTAAATGGTACAAAATTTTAATAGATTTAAGGAAGATTAAGCAGCATTCCTACATTCTAAGGCAAGTTGATCATTCAAAAAATATTTTTGTATGTAGTCTGCCTAAGCATACCTTATCAACTTGTCTTTTTTCTAAGTCTCGGGTAATTCAATCTTATACTTATTCATTAAGACATATTAGAGCAAGTAAAGAGCTGCAAAGAACAAGGACTCCTGAGAGTTGGCATTTTCAGGTCTGGGTCGAGGGCTTCCCATGCCTGGAATGGTAAAGTTTGAAAGGTAAGTTGGACCCGCATTACATATTGAAAATACCAGCTCTGGGTTGTAAGATGCCTGAAAAGAGTGGCTGGGCACATTGTCCATTTGCTAGAGAGAGAGAGAGAGAGAGAGAGAGAGAGAGAGAGAGAGAGAGAGAGAGAGAGATCTGTGCGCGTGTGCCTCTATATACATAGTGTTGGTTAAGCAACTCTAACTTGAGGTACTTGCTTTGTATTGTGGATTTATAAACAAAAAAAGTCTATAAACTGAGAAGAAAAGTAAACATAATTAAAATTTTATATATATATGGGAGGTGTATTTAAGGACCATGGGCACAGAGGAGGGAACAATTCTGTCTCGGTGATGGGAAGCAAAGGGGGGGGGGCAATTTCTGAAGGTACCATGTCTAGCTAGTCTAGTGTTTCACTAAATGTAGAGCTCAAGTTGACTTTTACTCATCCATTTCTTCCCAGGAATATTTGGCAAGAGTTATAGTTTCGTTGTTAATATCCCACACTTATCCGAGAACATGGTATGAAGGTACGCCTTCCATAATACATCAGTTCCAATACAGTGTGAACATCTTGGAGGAAACTGCCCTCTCTCAACAATAGCAGGGCCAAGAGACCCATGTCTCCTTGCTCTTGCTCTCACTGTTGGGCTAGAAGTCCCAGCTCGTCTCCAAGTCTGTGATTCACCATTCTTCTCGGTCACCTGTCACTGCGGGTGGGTGACAGAACTGGTCACAGAAGGCCCTCCTCCGGGAGATGGTGGGATTCCAGTACTCCCGAGAGCTGAGCACTCAGGCAGGCATGCCTCTGCATCCCAGATTGCCACCTTTAGGCCCTTCTGAGAGGTGAGAGCCAACGCCCACGCACCTTGGCCCCTGTCACCCTGATTTCCACTCTGTTTACTTCTGCAGGGAGGAGGCCACAGTCCTAGCATCTGTTTGATAGAACAGATCTATTAAGCTCTTACTGAGAGCAAAACAGGAGTTTCTTCCTTGAAGAGCATCTCATAGTCCTATGTTCCAGACTGGTGGAAAGTGGAGTAATTCTTCAGTTTTCGCTAAGAAGTGATTGTTTCTGGAGATGGCTGGGCAGTTAAGAGCTTTTTCTGCTATTTCAGGGGACCCAAGTTCAGGTTTCCAGTGACCACATCAGACAGCTCTAAAGCTCCTGTCACCCTAGCTCCAGGGGATCCAATATCCCTGACTGCTATGGGAACCTGTGCATACATACCGCCACACACACACGTGCATAGTCATAACTTAAACATATAAAATACATCTTTAAACATCTTTAAAGTAATTAAGAGAAACAATTATTTGTGTCAGAGCCTTTGCAAAGGCCAGGTCTGACTTTTCCCAACCACTTTAAAATGAAGAAACAAAACAAAACAGAAACAGGGTGAGAATTGGTCCATGTAGCCTGCAGGCATATATATGTACTCTAATACCACACCGAGCCATATTAACGTGAAGTTAAGACATCATCAAAATAAGGTAATTAATCAAATAGTTTAAGTCCACACACCCAGGGCCTGCAGTGGTAATTTTGTTCTTTAACAGTTAAACCAAGCATTCCTACCCCCATCAGCCCTGTACCTCAGTTTCTTCAGGTCTGTGACCCATCGGTCTCCCATCCTCCTCTTGTAATTTATCTCTTCCTCCTCCTCGATGATCTCTCGGATCTTATGCTTCACGTCTGGGTCCTTCACCACCACGAAGGTCCAGGGCTCTGTATGGGCCCCACTTGGCGCTGTCCCTATTCCCCATTAAGTGAAAAATCCATGTAAGACCGAAGACGAAGTGAAAAACTGTTCATTAAGAGGAAATACAATAGCCGGGATTGTGGTGATGTATGCCTGTAATCGCATCCAGCACTTGGGAGGCTGAGGCAGGAGGATCACATGTTCAAGTAAGTGGTTTTCAGCCTGTGGGTCAAGACCCCCACAGGGATCACACATCAGATAACCTGCATGTCAGATGTTTACATTGCAATTCATGGCGGTAGCAAAATTACAGTTATGAAGTAGCAATGAAATCATTTAATGGTTGGGGGTCACCACAACATGAAGAACTGTATTAAAGGGTCGCAGCGTTAGGAAGCTTGAGAACCCCTGTTGTGGGAGGAGGAAGAACAGGCAGAGGAAGAGGAGGAAGAAGAGAAATTTACCTTAATTTAAACATGTGCGTACACACACACACACACACACACACACACACACACACACACCACAATGGAGGTTAGTGGTTGTTGCCCCTTAGGTAAAGGATACAACTATCTAAGGCATTTGCACTCTTGGCTGAGACAAACTATTCTCAATCCCTTTTGGATTAGAGACGGATGTCAGCAGGTATGCAGCAAGCGAATCTGGCTCAGATAGGAGGAGGACAAGAACAGGGGCAGTCAGAGAGGAGGGTGTCTTTTCCCCTTCAGTGGAGATATGCGGTTACATCTAAGGTGAATTTATCTTGCCGTTCACTTTACAAGTCCACCTAAGGGGACCTTGCTATTTTGTTAGTTCCGCCAATCACTGTACTAGAAAGATACTAACTTTGTTTCCTGGAAGATGAACATATGAATGAGAATTGCGTGTGGAAGGAAAGGAGAGAGGTTTCTCCTTCAGTGTATACTAACTTATTCAGAATTTTTAGTTTTAAACAATGTACTTACTTCAAAAGTTTTAAACTATCATCACATCTCCCCTCCACACACCCCCCAACCTCCCCAGAAAATAACAGTTAAAATGTAGCAAGTAAAACTCCACATGTTTCTGGCCATCACCAACAGTGGGAAAGCCTTCGAGAATAAACACACCTCTCCTGCTCTGTCTGATGGTTTGGAGACTTCCGTGCTATCTCCAGTGCTGTTACAGCATCCGGGAAGCTGACATCCTCCAACCCTTGGCACACAAATCACCAACCTGCTGCTTTGATGACGTTAGCAATGACTTCCATTGGAACTTGCTCGCTGCTGATAAACCTGACAGAGCGTCTCTTATTGAGGAGTTCATAGAATTCCTGGGACCTCATCTTCATCTCCAGCTCTGGGTACCGGGTGTGAGAGAACGGGACGTGCTCCACGCTCTCCTCTGATTCTTGCCATTCGTCAACATCTGGAAATAAGAGATAGAAACACAGCAAATTCAGCTACCTCCTTGTCATAAGGTCGCTGGGGGTGGTGGTGGAAGGGAATAAAGTTCCAGGAAAGGCCACATGGTTATATGATGTCAAAATAATCCACTGAATTTTTTAAAAAGGAAAATAAAAAGAAAATAGAAACCTATAGAATTTTGACCACTGATCGTGACCAGCCTTCCAATTCTAGACCTGTTATATAAAGGAGATTTTTGTCTAAGCAAAATTAGTAAAATCAAGGTTACACAATAAAGACAGGTTCCCCGAAGCTCCAAGAGTTCATAGGCTCAAAAGTGTGAAGAGCTATGACACTACACTAGAGAATGAAATAAGACAGACTTATATAAATCTCTAGAGTATTGCTGAAGTGATAATAGAAGGTGATAGAGCAGAGATGGAAAATAGAACTTCTGAAAAACAACAGAATTATTTAGATTAAATCGACGAAAAAAAAAAAGATGAGTGGATGGTAAGTCAGAAAAAAAAAAAATCTAGGGCAAAGAGCAAAAGACAGAAAACAGAAGATCGGGGAAAACCAAGAGCTAGTTTATTTAGAACCTGAAGAAAAGCAAGAAACAAGTGAGTTTTAGAGTTATAGTGGTGTTGGTAGGGTGGGGTGGAGGCTGTGAAGAGAACAGAGTTTAGAGAGAGTACTCAAAGGCAGGCCCATATCTAAAGGCCTTTATGGTTCAATCCATCAGGCCCACACGGTGGGAGGACAGAACCAACTCCTCAGTTTGTCTTCTGCCTTACATACATGCATGCCACGGCATGCACATCCATGACAGGACGCATGCATCCACACACACACACAATCAGTAGCAAAATTACAGTTATAAATTTAATTTTGTGGTTGGGGGGGTCACCATAACATGAGGAACTGTATTAAAGGGTTGCTGCATTAGGAAGGTTGAGAACCAGTGAGTTGGAAGGAAGGAAGTGTGATGAAGGGTCATCAAATACACCTAGCTATCAATCATCACATATATTTAGCTATCAACCATCACATACACCTATCTGTCAATCAGTTCTAAACAACGCTGAGTGTTTCCAGGTGTCAATCCACACTTTCCACAACAGTGACACTTTCCAACCATGTAAAGTTGATTCAGAAAGCCTTGTGGTGAGTGCCATGGACCACCCCAGCCGGATATGAGGGTCCCTGGGATGAGGGTTCTGGAAGACTAGGTGGATAAGGATTTGGTGGTGACAAACAGAAACAAACACAGAGGCAGCTTGAATCTGAGTGTCTTTTGCAGCTTTCAAACAAGGCTTTTATCCAGGATAAAGAATAGCTTCTCAGAGATTGTGTTCATTGAAGCCAATCCAGATAGAACAAATGACATCATCATCGTTAGGCACAGTAACATACAACTTATTCAAGGCTAAAACAATAAATCAGAAAATCTTTCAAGTCTAACCATAGCTAACCACCTATTTTCTAAGGTCAGGTTAATAAATTTTTATGGTGAGTTATTAATATTTGTTGCCTAGCTCTTGAGAATCTTTGAAATATTGAGCTATTTTGACTTTTTTCTTATCAAAAGGCTTTCTTTACCAAACGTTTAAACCTACTCTCAATTACACATGTACAGCCAAATGAAGTTTTCTGGTTGGGAAAGTTTTCATCAATACTATGTGTACTTGGATGAATGACGTGAATGATTTGAAAAGGACTGGCTCTCCTGGAGACGGGGTCATGATCAGTGAGCATGTCTCGGGGGACGGTTTCTCATGTGTGACTTTTGTTTGAAATGTCAGCATAGGCTTCCAGGAACATTTCATTAATGCGAGAAAGGAATAGAAGAGCAGAGATTACTATGAGAACTACAGCTCAATACTTTTCTCCAGCCGAGAGTTCCACAGCCGGTTCCAGGAGACCTCCTTCTTTTGAAGGTCCCGCCTCAGCCTGTGGAACTTGTCACACAGCACCTACTAGATTTGGTGTGGCAGGTGAGGAAGTAGTACAGGAGCAGCTGTTTAAATGATGCCACCAGCCCTTAAGAGCCAGCCTTATTTGCATAACCCATAGACAGCCCAGGAGCACAGCTGGCTTCCAAGTCCAAGGTAGCTCTCCTAATACAGCACTATGAAGCGAGGAGCTGCCCCAGGCTTCCCTGGGCTAGTTGTTGGATCCAACCTAGGCGAGAGAGAGAGAGAGAGAGAGAGAGAGAGAGAGAGAGAGAGAGAGAGAGAGAGAGAGAGAGACAGAGAGACAGAGACAGAGACAGAGACAGAGACAGACAGAGAGAGACCCTGTCGCATGCAATGGGGATTTGCTGAGTGACTCTCCCAGGCTGTGTTCTCTGGAGCCACACATCTGGCAGTCTCCTCTGGGGCAGAAGGTCCCCAGTCTGTCTGAGGACTGAGAGAGCACAGAGAGTCTAGCCTAGGAGCTCTGCAAACTCCTGCCGAGACCTCAGTGAGAGCTAGCAGGGACCTCTAAAAAACAAGCAGCCACTCCTCTCTGCTCTTGAACTTCTGACTGCTCCCAGGAATGTGGCCTTGGAAGGGAAGGAAAAAAAAATCTCTGAGATTCTGTTTCCATGCCTCCTTTGTTCTAGACTTCTCTGTGCGAGAAGCTACCCAGCAGACAGGATCCTGGAAACAGACTGCGAGAGTCCTACCTGCCGAGGTGGGTGGTACCCTACTAGAGCCTCAGTCCCCTGTGCTGGGAGATAATGGTGATGCCTACCTCATTGTATTACCATGGAAACAAAGTGGCCCACTCTATATACGACATGGCACCAGCTGGCTCCTTTCTGTTCCATGAGAGTGTGCTGTGGCCCCTGAATTGCTCATATCACCTTCTTTATATTGTACATCTCTCTACCATATGCCTCTTATCTTTGGGGGTTTCAGCCTTAGTGAAGTCTTTGGTTCTCCAGCTTCTGAGTGCCACCTCAGATTGGTGCCATTCTGGCCAGAATCTCTCACCTAACATCATGAATATCTTGAGTTCAGCACACCTTTACGTAGTCCCCCAAACTGGATCCTACTCCTTCATCCATCCACGGCAGAGTCTGAATCACTCCTTCTGTCTTCCGCAATATCTAGAACCGGATGCTCTTCATTGTAACTCGGCCCTCCCTGGCCCTCCCCCACCCCATACCATGCTTCTTCACCAAAGCTTAGAACAGGCGTCTGTAGCAAAGGAAATGCTTGCCGAGTGGGATCAGACAGTCCCCTAGTTAACACCGCGCCGAACACAACCATAGAACCATCCCATGGTTCATTTTCAGTGGAACATTTGACAAACTTCATGGGACTCGGTGTTTGATTGTAGGGGAGATGCTGTCTCTGATGGTTTGCCTCAGTCCAAGCCTTTGCGCATGCCTACTGGCTAGCTAAGCTATGGTAGTTGGCAGGCTAGGTTTATCAAGTACATTTTTGATTCACAATATCCTTAACTTGCCACCGGCTTCTCAGGATGTAACACCACTGTATACTGATGCAAGTGTGTGAAGCTGATATTCTGAGTAGGGTGTCCTTCAGCACATGACAATAAGAGGCACACACACACACACACACACACACACACACACACACACACACACTGCCTCTGGGGAGTGAAGACCTACTGAAAATGAGAAGGCTTCTTCTTCCCGACAGAATCTATTTCCCATAGCCATCTCAGGCAACGTGTCTCAAATGTGCTGCGGAATATCCCCCCCCCCCCGTGTGCACTGGGAGGATGTGTTACTCTCGTTGTTAATAAAGAGCTGGCTGGCCAATAGCTAGGCAGAAGGAGGTGAGGTAGAGAGCCAATCTGAGAGGATGCTAGGAAAAAGGGTGGAATCAGGAGTCGCCTCAGGGAGACGAGGAGAGCATGACATGCTGAGGAAGATACCACCACGTGGCAGAACATTTATGTGTCAGTTTAAGTTGTAAGCGCTAGTTAACACCAAGCCTAAGCTATCGGCCAGGCATTTGTAACTAATATTAAGTCTTTGTGTGGCTGTTCTGGGAGCCAGCTGCTGGGACAAAACTGGCTGGCAGGACAGAAAACCGCTGCCTACACAGATGTAGATTGCTCACGACTCTAAGAGAACCCCCTTCCCTCCCTGGCTCTTTGATCACTTCTCCCTAGTGCCAGCCACAGCCAGCCCTCTGGTCCCCATCTCCTGGAAGCTCTCCCAAGCATTAGACCATAGGCGTCGGGTGTCTGCTTCTGTTCTGACATATGCCCCCTGGTGGCCACACCTGTTCACCCTCCAGGTCAGCTTTCTCCTTTCCCAAAGTCCCAACAGGCCCCCCAGCCTTCTCTAAACTCCATTTACTAGCTCCACAGTGTTTGCTACTTCCCCCATCTCATCCCCTAATGGACCTTGATCTTACGAGCACAGAGGCCACTCTTGTCTCTAACCCACAGGGCCTGGCACAATAAAACGCAGCTGATCCCTGGACATGCCACGTTCCCCGTTTCAACATTCCCAATCCAAACTTGGCCATGCTCACCACCACTCTATACAGTAACCCCCACCCCAGAGGAGGGCCCGAGCTGGGAGAGACCTAAGCCTCCACGGCTTTGGACCGATTAGTGGCAAGTAACCAGCAAGTGACCTGAAAGAGGACCCGTGTTTGTCACACATCGTTCTGCACTCACAGGAGTGATGGTTTGATGGCATGGCTTGCTTCCAGTAGTCCTGGTATCAGTTTACACATCACAGCAGGTCTAGGGTGAAGCTTAGGTACCGCAATGGGTTGTTACCTTCTTCCTCTTGGAGGAGGTCAGTGCTGTCTCTCAAGTCTTCATCCACCCAGGGGCGAGCTTGCGCCTCCTCCTTCTTTGTCTCCAGGCTCCTGTCGGCATTTTTAAAGACCCATACAATCAAGATGCAGACAACCGCTACCAACGCTGGAGTGAGGAGAAACATGGTCTGCAGTCTGACCCGGAAGGTCAGCACACTCCCACACTGGCCTTTATACAAACAGAGATGGCAGCAGGGAATGCTGGGAGTGGACGTAAGAAGAGGGAGCATAGTACATACTCTCAAACTCTATGAGGACTTCACGAAGGAGCAAAGGTCACGGTCTCGTGCACGCAGGTTTGGTCCTGCTCCAATGCATGCATTTTTAAAAGTAGTGCCCTTTTAAATCACCACAGGGTATGTTAAACACTGCAATGTGTTAGATCTTGCTGGCGGTGGTTAAAAAGGCATTTGACCTTTCTCCTATTTAACATTTCTCTGAGAGTGTCTTTCCATCTGCCTGAAGCTAGGAAGCGCCCAGAGAGCTCACTTTTCAAAGAACAGATTTATAAATATAGATTCTGATGTTCTGGAAGAAAATGTCCAGAAATAAGCTGTCAAAGTGCATTTTCAACTGCATATGTAAGAAGTACTGGCCTGAGATGGCTTTTTTTTTTTTTTAAACAACATCCATGCCAACACACGCAACAGGGAAGAAAGACGTATGTTTTATGTTAGAGAAGAAAATTAATCTGGAAAAAGTGATGCAAAAAGTGAAAAATGAGTATATCTAAATGTGAAGGTATTCTTTGTTTGCTTTCTTGCTTTTGTTTTGGTCTTAGTTCTTATCTTTACTGTTCAGGCTGCCATAACAAAAATATCATTGACGGAATGACTTAAATAATGAAATGTGTGTCTCACCGTTCCAGAGATTGGGACGTCCAAGCCCCAGGGACCAGCTTATTTTGTTCTTCCTGGCTTGTAATGTGGTTGAATTTTCCCATTGTCCTTACAATGTAAAGATGTGTTTCATTTGTTTAATTATGGAAAGATGTGTTGCTGCTTCATCTTGCCTACTTAAGGCACCTGGAGAGGATAAAACTTCAGGCCACCACCGTGGTACACACTTAGGTTAGAACAATGCTCTCTTGAGGAACAGAGCCTGTGGAACTGGGCCAAAGAACACCAGATGGCTGATCTGGGGGTGGCCCAGATGAGCCCTCTTTACTCTCAATACCTCTAAAGAGTGGCTCTCTACCTTCCTAATGCTACTATATAGTTCCTCATGTTGTGGTGACCCCTACAACCATACAATTATTTTTGTTGCTACTTCATAACTGTAATTTGCTACTGTTATGAATTGTAATTATCTGTGTTTTCTGATAGTCTTAGGTGACCACCCCACACACCATGAAAAGATCATTCTATCTCCAAAGAGGTTGTGGCTCACAGGTTACGAACCATGGTTCTAAAGCATCCTTGGCTACTTAGTTTCTGTCCTTTGTCCTTATCCAGGGAAGAGGAAGAGTGTTGAAGGAAGAAGGCACTAATTATTTTCACATCACCACCACAGACAGATCATCAGTTTTAATTAATCATGTGGGGGCCTGCAGCCACCTTGCAGACCACACCAGGAATCGTGTTATTCTAGAAGCACACATTCCCTCCCCCAAACAAATATGGTGCTGGTGTTAAATCTGTGACATCCACCTGTGTTTCTGCTTCCTAGAGTCCCCAGTGTGTATTTGCAGAAGGCAAAGGAGGGCAACAGGGAGCTCTATAGGAAAGAGGCTGCCTGGGGCATTGAGTGAGCCAACAGAGTCTACAAAAGCAGACTGTTGTCTTGGTTGAGATCCAGTGCTCAGTAGCAACCGTGATGGGAACTGTTTAAGGGGTGAGCTGAACTCTGCAATCTTATCGCAGATAAAATATGAATACAGAGAGGAGACACAATGAACTACAAAACATTTAAATGACTTAGTCAGTCTCATCTATACATAGCCACCTTCACTAATTCTATTCAACCCAAGGGCATGTCTTCACTTGATGCTCACTGGGTTGTCTCATACCTACACCCACTGCGTCTGTGTGCCAATGATGCTTAAGCTAGGCCTTCCTCTGCGTGCATTATCGAGTCTGAAGGACCAGACACTATAAATGAAACTCCACTCTCCGAGAGAAAACCAACCGTGAGGAGCTTTGTGCTGTGGCCTTCGGGGAAGACAAGTTAGACCTGGAGTCCCAAAGTGAGACCCGAGGTCACTAATAAACAGCCTGCTGGGATGGTTGTTAGATATGCTAATTCCAGGCCTTATCCTGCTGACACAGGCACCCCAGGGCAGGGCTCACCACCACAGGAATCTCACCTGCAAGGGATCTAACCACCACAGGAATCTCACCCGGGTGGGATCTCACCATCACAGTGCAAATCAGAGGCTATACCTTCCCTCTCCAAGCAAACCACACATTCAGGTCTATACTCAGTCTGCTTCCTTATGTTCCCCATATGTGGAAAAGTGTGAGATTTCACAGGTGTATTTTTTTTTAACCCAGAAGGCATCTAAGCTTGCCAGTTCTGGGAGCCCCTCCTCCCCCCACCCCGAGCCCCAGCACATCACTCAGGGAAGAAGCAGAGAAGTGACAGGTCTCAGAGAGCTGGGGACTATGAAAGTGAAAGCATGGTATCATCCATCATGACTGTCTTTGCCTGGAGGAGTCCCTAGGGACTTCCTTCACCTACGCAGTAGCCAGAAGCATTTCTCAGGACACGAGCTGGGCCCTCAAGAAAAAAATCGCGCTAATTCTCCAATCTCTGCAACACATCATCTTTTGAAAAGGATGCTTTCTCCAGGAAAGTACTCCGCCACAGGCAAAACAGGCAAGCTAAGGAGGCAGCAGCTTTGCTTGGTGCGTGCGTTGTAGCAATAAATACTGGTAGCATCAGGTGTTGATGCTGCCCTGAGATTTTTCCCTTGGTGAGTCCCTTCATGGTGGAAAGTTTTTGTACAACACTTCCATCTTCCTTCCACTCCTACCATGATTCCCCAGTCCATTCTCCCACCCCCCCCCCATGCTCACTGCACATCAAAGGAAGGCGCAGGCATGGCTCGCAGGGCCTGACAGCCTCCACGTGTTCTCTGCTCAAGTGGTAAGCCCATCAGAGCACAGCAGGGGTAGGGTGGAGGCTGGGATCAGTGGCGATGCAAGTAGAATGAGACTTTGTTGTAAGGAAGACACTGGAGCCCGATTCTGCCACAGCTCCCCACCCCCCACCCCCACCCCCCCACCCCATCTCCACAGTTGACCTTTGCCAGTAATAAAACCAATATTTTTGTGTGAACTGCGTAACCCGGGGGTCTGTGTCAGAACTCCAGGGAGCAGGGACATGGAGCACCCTGAGGTAGACACACTTACTGTAGAAGAAATTGAACCTTGAAGGATGAGCAGCACCCTTGTGTGTCTTTATCACTGACCACCATGCTTACACTGGAAACCAATGATGTAAGTAGCATCATCCTAAAGTTTCCAGGGTACCACCTTTTATTCCATACTCTGATTGTTTACGTGGAGGGATATCTTAGGAAGGGAGGTTGTGTGTGATGTGCAAACAAATCTAAATATTAATTGCTCTTCAGTCCTATAAGTGTTTTGTTTATTTATAAAAATTGTCCTGGGCACCAAACAGAACATTGACAAGTGGGGATTAGCAATGAAGGGTATCAGGGAATAGAAAGTTACTATGGAAACCTCAAGGCTAGGGGGATTTATTATTTTTTAAGGTTTATTTACTTCTGTATTGGTGTTTTAACTGTATGTATGTCTGTGTGAGGTTGCAAGATTCCCCAGAACTGGAGTTATAGACAATTGTCAGCTGCCATGTGGGTGCTGGGAACCAAACTAGGTCCTCTGGAAGAGCAGCCAGTACTTTTAACCACTGTGCCATCTCTATAGTCCCAAACCAGAGGCATTCTTGTTTGACCAGCATAACAGGCTTTCATCAAAAAAAAAAAAAAAAAAAAAAAATGGACCTGGTGATAAGATAGTACAATCGGGCCATGAGCAATTTGATTATATATTGAGACTAGAGAACTTTTAACAGAGCTGACTCAAGAGGAATCTTGCCCAAACTGGATTAGACCAGCTGATGACAGAACCCAGGTAAAGATTTGGTCAAGAAGCCTGTATTAAGTTTGTTCAAGGAGAGTTTGGTCTGTAAGTTTCTCCTAGTGTCCATGGCAACAACAAATGCCATTGTTCTTACCAGAGTCACTTTCTGTGTAGCCTGTGCTTGGCTGGGTAAGTGAGTGTCCTTCGGTCAAGGAGAACCCTTCAGAAGTAATCGGGGTGGAACCCACTTGATAGCCCTCTGACCACGGAGGCTGCCTTGTGGGGGGTGAACCCCAGCAGTAATGGCCAATGGGGCATCCATGAGACAGGACCCAAAGGAGTCAGGCAGGGGCTCAGAACCAGTGTTCATGACTCCTGGCCAAGGCAGACTTGTTATTTAATGTCAAAGAACAGAATAAGGAGCACTTCATAAATGGATGCACAGAAATTCAAAGCATATTCCACCCTGAGCACAAGCAGCCCCAGAAGCTAACAGGGTTGGACTTGGTTGGTACTTGGTTCAAAACACCTATTTACAAAAATAGTAAGTCTGGGATTTCAAAACAAAGCACAACAATACCATAAGCATGACACGGGGAAAATATGTTTCGTGTATTTAAAGTTGCTACAGATGTAATGCTATACAGCTGGCAATAACTAAAGAACGCAAAAAACTAAAACCATTAAACAAACAAAAACAAAAAACCATTGATCCAGACCACCCAAATGACAGACAGACAAATGAGTTGAGAAATCCACAAAAGAAGTACAAATGGCCATGAACTTAGTTCTCCATTAGAGAAACAGAACCCTACCCTGAGGTCCCACCTCATCTCAAGCCAGGGGCGCTGCCGGATCATCAAGAAAATAAGTGACAAGTGTTGGCATCAGTGTGGGGAATGTTAGCTCCTGAGGTGTAAGTCAGTACGGTCACTGTAGAATTGTGTGGAAGTTCCTGTACAAAGCTAAAGTATGATTACTATATGATCCAAATATATAACTCCTGGGGACACTTGAAGGGGGTCTAAGTCAGTCCATTGTGGTGTTTTGTTTTGTCAGTCTTTGCTCTTTGGGGGCCCTCTCCCCAGCTTGCAAACAAAGGCACGGAGACTTAGTCTTAC